TTCCTTGATGGCTTGCAGGTACTCCGGGCAGCTTCTCTTCCAATGTCCTATCTTGTGGCAGTGGTGGCACTCTGCCTCCTTCGGATTAGAGGGCTTAGAGGGATCAACTTTGGTCCCACTAGAAGAGGCACCATCTGGGCTTTAACCTTGCGATGGTTCTTTGACGAAGCCTTCCTCTTCTTTCCTTTTCCTTGTCCAATTGCCAAGACAGGAGCAGCGGGCGGATTGGGAGTTGGTGCAACAGACTTGTCCTTGAAGTTGCTCTCAGCGACCCTCAAGAGACCTTGGAGTTTACTTAGGGTGACCTCTTCTTTGTTCATGTGATAGGTCATCCTAAATTGATTGTAGCTCGGAGGCAAAGAGTGAAGCACCATGTCGATCGCCAAGTCTTCCCCAAAGTCAACATTTAACTTGCGAAGGCGGTCGACATACCTTTGCATCTTTTGCAAGTGCACGGTAAGAGATTCTCCATGACCCATCTTAGCGGAAATCATGTTAGTGAAAATCTCATAACGCTCTTGTCTCGCGTTTTGATGGTATCTCTCCAATAAGTCTTGGTGCATTTCGTACGGATACATGTCCTCGTAGGACTTTTGGAATTCGGAGTTCATGTCGCGATCATGATGCAATGCACTTTCGTTGCATCACGCTCGTGAGTTTCGAAAGCGGTGATTTGGCGGGAGTAGCGATTTCGGGGTTGATTTTCTCGAGCTTCTCATCGAGGACATACTCCTTATCCTCATAGCGAGCAATCGTGCGAATGTATCTTATCCATTCGCTAAAGTTCGTTCCATCAAAGGTGACCTTTTGACAAAGGCTCATCAAAGTGAAAGAACTCGAGCAGCATTGTTAGCGTTCGACATCTACAAATAGAAAGGACAAAGATAGATTAGAATATGAATCCCTAATTATCACCCAATAAGAAGAATTAGGGCTAGGATCCAACAACAATATTTACACATTAGAAAAGGGATGCCGTAATCTAATATGCAAACAATTTGAAGGTAAGTGAATGACGATTCACTAATTCTCCACCATGAAAAACATAACTTTAAGTCCTAAATGTATTGAGAATTCCTAGGTTTAGATGAGATTCATTGAAACTTTTCAATGGCATGTTTAAATCTCGATATGCCCCTCTTGTTTGTGACTGGGATACCGAGGATCACAAAGCGGGTGTGAATTACCATACAAATTAACGTGGTGCCTTCATTGTAACGATCACCTATTCGATGTGCCGGTAAACCACACACGCTCCATCGAACTATGATAAACAATGAATCACCCTTTGCCACCTTCGCTTAGAACCAATTAGTGTGCCGGTAAACCACACACGCTCCACTAACTTCTTAGCAAGGTGCAAAGTGTAATTTTATGGGATTGCATCAATTCACTTTTCCTAAAGTAACTAAGATTGGGAAATTTTAAGAAAACATGTAGTTACTTTGTATTTCTTATTATACTTTTAATGAGAGGATGAGGTTGTCCTATCCTACCCGTTCGGCTAACGACCCTCCACCAATCAAGCGAGCGGTGGGTGTGAGTGTACACCCATTAAGCGCCATTTTATAGGCCGCAACCTTATACCCACCTTATAGACCGGCTTCGTGAATGAGGCCTACTAACGGTAAGACTAGCATTTAGTTATACATATATATATATATATATATATATATATATATATATATATATATATATATATATATATATATATATATATATATATAATATATTAATCTTGTAATATTATATTAGTATAGGTTGTATTTTAAACTTGTAAAATTCTAGGGTTTGAAATTTAAATTGTCTAAATTAAACTTTTAATCACAAAACATAAATTTCAAAAACCTTGAGGACTAGTTTTAAACATTTAAAACATAAAGGATCAAATAACAAATAATCTAAATCACATAATTATCCATATTTGATTAATAATTATCATATAAGGAAATCAAATATTTTATTAATTGATAATTATCTTCAATTAGATCAAAAATATAGTCATATATATCACAAAATCGGATTAGGGTTGATCTAATATGATTAAGGTAAGTTTCCATAAGATAAATATGAAAAAAATCCCGTTTTTGGCTAATCCTGACGCTCGGACTCGCCGAGTACCCATACTGGACTCGTCGAGTCAGGTCAACTCGTCGAATCCACTATGGGACTCGCTGAGTCCATGACTCAGAAACATAAAAATCGAATTTTTCAGTTTAGTTTCATACATGCAACAATTCAATGAAAACCAAGCTAGGCTCTGATACCACTGATGGGTTTTAGCCATAAGAACTTTCCTATGTGCGCATGGAAAACCCTAATGCTCGGATCTAGGCTTTGTAATCAAACATGCTTTGAATCCAAGACTTCTAATGACTATTTAGATGTAAAACCAATATTGAAACAGATCTAGAATCATACCTCTGAATTCCTTGTTGATCTTGTTGTCATGGAGCTTCTAGAGTCACAATTGTCACTCCTCTAATGGCTTACAAACACCAATAGCAAGGAGGATGATTTGGGAGAGAGGAGAGGGGAGGAATTCGGCCAGAGTCTCTCTACTTTTGATGGGATATTCAATTCCCTCAGCCATAGGGTCTATTTATACTTGTAGACTCCTTAAGGGTTACTGCTTAAACCCTAGTTGGATAACTTAGACTTTAAGTTAATCCATATCCTTTCCTTGATAACCCTATGGACGATTTTGGCTTATCCAAGCCCTAGAAATCGTCCAATCCTTTATCAATAAGGATTTACAGTCTAAAGTTAACTATCAAGCAATTGACAGTTTATACCCTCTTATTTAATTAATCTCTTTAAGTCACCAAATTAATTCCAATTAATTCTATGACTTATATTAATCAAATAACTATATATTATTCTTTATATTATTCTCATAATATACTAATAATATTTACTTCTCTTAATAAATCATCCTATCAAGTTGCTATGGTGAAGGCAACCCAAAAGGACCATGCACAACCGGGTCAAATACTTGCCTAATATAGTTTAGCCTTAGACACTATTCCAACAGTCTCCCACTTGGATAAGTCTAGTAACTATAAGCGCAAGTACAATTCGGTTTGCAATCGTAGCTCTCAAAGACGCTGTCAAACTCTGATCTAATCAATCTTGTCCTTTAGATAAGGGATCGTACAGTCCTCTGTTAGATATCATGATGACAATACTATGGAATAGTTAGTCTAGCATTTGGTTTCTCGATTTCCGATTTATTCGACATAGAACTTAATCGAACACATCAATTCAGTTCTGACCGGGCCTGGCACATAAGTCAAATCAAATCATCGAGCGGCCGAGATATCACTTTTTCCTTAAAAGTTACAGATACACTTCGACTTATATGCATTTACTTATTCATTAACTAACCATACACAACAATGCGTTTTATAACATGAGTTACCAATGTGTTTTCGCATTATCAATGTACAATCAATTAACCAATAACAAACCATATATCTAGGTTCTAAGACTATATGATATTATCGTCTTGCGATCACCCATTTACTATCACATTCCATAAGGTGATTCCAGCAAGCGCGGGTTTGTTCCAATGCTCAAACCTAGTTCATAAGCACTCATGAACTTGCAACAATCTATTGCTATGTCTAAAACCATTTAGATACTCTACACACCTATTCATGACAATCTTCATTCATACCTACTTCCAACATATGAACGATTGTGGACAATTTGAACAATTCGATTATTCTTAATAAACTCAATTATTCTGGAAGTCAAAACATGCAAAGTGAAACAATAGTTAAACAATTAACATAAGATAGTAACATTACTTATAAATAAAACTCCTTTATTTAATCATCAAATGTTAATTACATTTATCTATTACATGTTTCTAATACTATCTAATCTATGCTAACATCATCCTTCAGCCCAATGCTCCTAGCGTGTTGCAAGTGCTTAACCCTACTCAGTCCCTTCGTAAGCAGATCTGCTGGGTTATCTTCCGATGATATCCTCTTTACTACAAGTTGTCCCTCTTCTACACGATGTCTAATAAAGTGATATTTTTGTCGATATGTCTTGATCTACCATGATCCTCGGTTCCTTGGTCAAGGCAACCGATCCTTCATTATCACAAAAAATCTCCATGGGCTCCTTTATGGCAGGTACAACTCCAAGATCACCAATGAAGTTCTTTAGCCATATTGCCTCCTTCGACGCTTCGCTTGCTACAATGTACTCTGATTCACATGTTGAATCAGCTACGGTTTCCTGCTTGGAACTCTTCCATGTCACTGCTCCTCCATTTAGGGTAAAGACCCAGCCCAACTGCGAATGGTAGTTGTCCCTGTCGGTCTGAAAACTGGCGTCACTTTACCCTTGCACCTTCAAGTCATCACTCCCTCCGAGAACTAAGAACCATTCCTTCGTCCTCCGAAGGTACTGCGAATGAGGTCCTTCCTTTTGTCCGAATGTGCTTGCTTTGTGCTATGTGGGCTTTGAGTGATGGATGTTAGCTGTTAGGTGAATACGTTAAAGTCACATGTGATCAGGGTTGAATAATCTCAGAGTGTTGGATTTGACCCTATTGCGTAGCTCTTGTCTGAGCCCTAACCGTTGTAGGGATGATTCCCTTACTCGAAGGATTATCTAAGGCCTCGTTGCACGTGATTGTATTCAGGTAATAGCTA